GTTCCTTCCAGAAGAGAAGAATCCAAAAAGCAATATTTTTCATTACATGCCAAAAACAGGGGATAGAGGGAAGGAGTGGCAGTCCTAGGCCCCTCTGATTGTCCCTTGAGTAAAAATATTTATTTAAAAAAAAAAATTCAGTTCCTTAATCCCACTAGCCACATTTCAGGTGTTCAATAGCCACATGGATCTAGCTGGCTATCATACTAGGCAGAGACAATATGAAATATTTCCATCATCATAGGAAGTTCTGTTAGACAGCTGTGAGCCAGAGATTTAAAGCTGGTGGCCTGAGGCCTGTATGCTACTATCATCAGGGTTATTTTTTTTCCTTTTCACTTTTTCATTTTTAAGTTGGATACCAACATTTATAATTGGAATAAGAATCTGCATTTTTGCAGATTATGACCACAACCTGGTAGAATCTCCAGTACTCTGGGTCCCTGAGTGACTGCATGGAGAAACCACTCTGCCAATCTGTAAGATGTGGCATTAGCAAGAAATAAACTTTTGTTGTGTTAAAACCAAAAAAAAAAAAAAAGAGAGAGAGAGAGAGAGAATCTGGATTTCTGGCCTCTCTTAAAACAAACAAACAAACAAAAAACACAGGTATTCTCCAACACTGGACTTTGATTCCCTCAAGACAAATGACTGAAGCTCAGTAGCTGCTGACCCCCCTCCCCCAAGTGCTACATAGGCTTTAGAATGGGCATAGGCTCCCCTTGGCTTTGTTTTGCACAATCCCCCACCCCACCTCAAGAAACTTCATTTATTTGTTGCATTCATTTGTGTTCTAGTAGAAGAGACACAATAAACAAAGTAATAAACCAAATGTTTACAGATGGTAATGAAGACTAGTGAAAGGTAAGAGACTATTGGTAAAGAGCTCAGATTCTCAAGCCAGCCAGGGTTTGAAGCCTGGTGTAATCAATTACAGGATCTTTGACCTGGGACAGGTAAATATGTTGCTCTGTGTTTCACTTTCTTTACCTGTGTCTCAATACCACTGAATTGTATAATTTAAAATGATTAATTTTATGTTGTGTAAGTTTCACATAGAAAAGAAGCCCTAATGAGCCAACTTGAAGACATTCCCATTGGTCAAAACAGACAATTTGAGCATCAAAAAAAAATAACTGCAATGGACCGAAACATACAAAAGATGATAAAATTGACAACTTCACAATAATACCAAAGACAGCTAATTTGTCACTTTTGGAGGATGCTAGGGTACCAACTCACTATTCTGAAAACTGGTAAATAATGAGGGAAAACACACATTTAACCAGTCTTTCCTTATGACCTGTATTTCATGGTAAGCAATGAGTTGATGAGGATACATTCTTATTTACAGCAGAATTCCAGGTGATAAATGCAGAAGGAATGAGAGAATTGACATCCCCATTTTGCAACCCCTCATAAAATAATGAAGCTAGACAGTGATGATCAATTAAATCAGTATTTGAAAAAGTGATGGGGAACTTCACACTGGTTACCTGAATCTGAACTCACTGCTCAGATTTAACACCAGAAAAAGAGAGGAGCAGGCATTAAGTCACTCCTGCTGTCATGGAATAAGTACAAGCCACCACTCATGATGTATTTTTACCAGAAAACTGAACGTGAGACTGATCTGAAAACCAGTTCACAAGAAACACAGGGCACAGAGGAGTACTTCAAATGACCCGATGAGTACACAGCCTATAAATGGCCGGGTGTCTTCAACAGATAAATTGCAAGAAAAGAAAACAAGGAGGAAGGGGAGGGAAGAGAGGAAGAAACTAAGATTAAAAGAGACTTAAAAGCTCTAGGTGTTTTTGAGCAGTGGTTAGAGCACTGGCCCCTGGGCTGAAGGGTCCTGGCTTCAATCCTGGTCAAGGGCATGTACCTCGGTTGCAGATTGCAGGCTCAATTCCCATCTGGTCGAGGCACGTACCAGAGGCAACCAATCAATCTCGAGTCTGTGTTTCTCTCTCTCTCTGTCACTCTCTCTCTCTCATCCCCTTCCACTCTCTCTGAAATGCAATGGAAAAAATATCCTCGGGTGAGGATTTTTTTTTTTTTAAAAGAGAGACTTAAAAGACACATTGACCAAATGCAATGTATGAACTTTATTTGGACCCTGATTCAAACAAACTAAAAACAAAATGTATGAGTGGGCAATTGGAACTATCTGGTGATGTCTGGGATTTACTTCAAAAAAACCTAGTAGGGCTAAGAGGAAAAGTAGAGAGGAAGCAAGGTAGGTTTCAAAGGGGCTCATTATAATATTTTTATTTTTACATATGTTTAAGTTTTTCCATAATAAATTATTTTTTCTAAGTTCTTTTATGACCAAGTTCAATGTTATAACATGTGGGTTCCAGAGTGAGTAGACACCTAGTTGCTTGCAGTACCGCCTATGACCACAAGCTGGCTCCAAAACTCAACAATTTTTAGAAGACTTCTCTAGGGCAGGCTTCTGTGAACCAAGGTCATGGAAAAGAACAGGACAGAACTAAATGCCTGCTCGCTGTTTATTAATTCACAACGTGAAATGTGACTACCCAGTTCTTACTATCTAGCCCCCCAGACAGGAAGCCTATTATAAGCAGAATAATCCCCCAAACTTCCAGCTTGCTGGGGCCTAAAATCTGTCATCCTTGTACCCCTCACTTTTTCTCACCTACCCACAGCCCCCTGGTCAGACCTTCTTATCTTGATTCCTTCCACTTCATTCTACCTTCTTGACCCTGCCCCTGGTCCAATCTTGTCCCGTCCTTCCTGGATAACTTTACGGCTTCTTCACTAGCCTTCTGCTTAAAATCTTGAAATCTGTTCTCCATGCTGTAACCGAAGTTATCTTCTGGAATACAAATCTGACCATGTCCCTCCCCAAGGCTGCAAGGCTGGACATGTTCTGACCCATCCCACCTCACCCTGATCTTTTCTTCCCCTTCCGTTGCTAGGCTTCAAACATACTTGCTTCTATTCTGTTCAACATCCACCTAAAGACTTTTTGCACTTGCTGTGTCTCTACCTGGAATGCTCTTTCCCCAGATTTTCACACAGCTGATTTCATTTTCTTTGTTCCAAGGACCTCACTTTGCAAAAGTAGGTCCCGGTCTTTTCTTACTTTCATGTTATGACTGTGCTCTTCATCTGTGAACAGTCAGACTTGATAAATTGTCACTCAGGGAACTTGGCTTTGAAGGCCTGGGCTTTCTATTTCCAGGAGAAAAGGCTTTGTAAGTTAGAGGGAAGAAAAGCATGATGAGGACCCCTTCAGTCCTTGCATCTTGTTTGTGCTAAAAATGTTTCCAGACTCGCTACGCTGTAATTTCCGTTGTTGGAGAGGAAACCCACCTCTCGTTGTACTTTAGGTGTCATCATTGTTATTCGTTTTGAGAGCCTCATAGTGATGAGGGTCACCTCGAGAGAGAGCAGCAGTTGGGTCCACTGTACTTGATGAATTTGCCTGTCCCACCTGAAGGAAGTTTTAAAATATTTTTAGAACTTCAAAATGGCTCAATAGTTAAAAGAGAGAAACTCCCCAACATAGAGAGCTGAGAAACCAGCATGGGTAATATTTGATTGTCATCTAATATTTTTTGAGTAGAAAATGGAGACTTTGCTGAACCTCTCTTTAGAAAAATAATTCCTCTGAAAAGTCTAAATGATTACAAATTTTATTTTACGAGTTTTGGAGATCTCATTGTCTCCATTATGAGGAAAAGGGCTGTGCTGCCCTCCAAAGAGGTGGTTTTATATGAAAATGTCATTACATGTTTTCAATATATAGTAGTCCAACATTTAGGGACCCTCATTCCCAGAAACCATTCCTTCTTTTTATAAAGCAACTTAATGTCTCAATGATAATACTGTGTAAGACCTGGAAGGAAAACTTGAAAAGAGCTTATCATGTAAAACTTTTCAAAATAATTTTATTTACAGAAAAGTTGCAAAAATAATAATTTCCATGTGTCTTCATCAGAACCATGTTTGTTTTACCATTGCCTGTCTCTAGAGAAACACATATGTTCCTAAGTGTGCTTGGTTAGGGAAGATAAGATTTTGTGATTTATTAGCAGGTTGATAATTGCTCAGCTTTGCTTAACTATTTTGTCTCCGTTTCCCTCATTCCACTTGCCAGGGAATTTTCCTGACTTCTTACTACCCTGCCTCATCCACACCTCAAAGCCCTAAGGAAATCAGAGTGGAGCCCTCGCCGCCTCCCTCGCCTCCCAGAGGCCTGGTCTCTGTTTCCTTCCTCCCCTCCCACCCCCTTCCCGCCCGACTCCGCTTTCTTCCCCAAACACGCCGCTCTTCCACATCCTAGTTCAACAGCGCTGGCCATTTTCCGTACTCTGTAAATCCCTCACCAGACTAAGCAGAGTTGCCTGGGGAGCCGTGAGTGTGGGGAGCCAGAATCAAGGAAGGTTCAGGTCTGGGGTCCTCGGAAAACCAGGGGCTCCGTGGCAATAAGCGACAGCCGGACAATCTAGGGACATCCACCGCTCTACGTTCGGTTCCCTTCGTCTCCTCTGGCCCAGGGCCGCGGGAAGTTAGAGGGCTGCGGAGGAGTCAGGGGAGCGAGCGTCCACGCCCGGGGCCTGGCGGTGCCCCGAGTCCAGCGTGGTGGTGACGGCGGGCTGCGGCGAGCATCTCAGCGCGGAGGGTCGTCTAGGGCAACGTAGTAGGGGCCGCGGGCCAGGCGGCAGGCGAGGCGAGCCACTGGGAAGAGGGAGTGTCCCGCGGCTAGGGCAGGGCGGTTTCGGCGGTGCGGCGCCCGGTCACACCGCACAGTCACAGCCCCTCCGCCGCGCACGCGGAGTTGGCCGGCGTTAGGCTACCGGCCAGGACCACCCCCAGCGGAGCTCCGGTCCGCGCTTTGGAAGGCTCAGAGGCTCGAAAATCTACTGCTCTCGCGAGATTTTTCAAAGATCCCGTCCCTGCGCGCCGGCTTACGTTGTTGCCAGGGCAACGGGCGGTGCCAGCGCCGGCGGGAAGGAGAAGTATGAATTTTTGCCCGCGACCCTGGGAGACTTCAGAAGTGGCCATTACTGAGCTTCCAACCCTAGAGACCACGGCCTCTACTCCAGGCGGTGCCCCTGCCTCTGGGGGCCATGGGCCGGATCTCAGGGCTCGTGCCCTCTCGTTTCCTGACGCTTCTGGCGCATCTGGTGGTCGTCATCACCTTATTCTGGTCCCGGGTAAGACCGACAGCCACCCTCCTCCCGCCCGCATTCCCACTTCGGGGTGGTCCCAGACCAACCCCTCGTCTTCCCCAGGACTTGACCCAATCGCGTCCTCCCACCCCTCTTTTACTTTTCTTTCTGTTTTCTCTGCTTGCTCTCCAGGACAGCAACATCCAGGCCTGCTTGCCTCTCACGTTCACCCCCGAGGAGTATGAGAAGCAGGACATTCAGTGAGCACTTGGGGCGGGGTGGTCAGAATTAAGTAGTAGTGGGAGTGGAGGGGTCTTAGAAGAAGTCCAGGAGGCCTGAGCCAACTCCCTTCCTTTCTGCAGGCTGGTGGCAGCGCTCGCTGCCACCCTGGGCCTCTTTGCAGTGGAACTGGCCGGTTTCTTCTCAGGAGTTTCCATGTTCAACAGTACCCAGAGCCTCGTCTGTATCCTTTCTGCCTGCGCACCTTTCCCGCAGGGCCCATTTCTATCACGACTCCCTTCAGCCACCTAACTATCACTTTGGGGCACAATAGTGTCTGCCCTTGCAGGCAAACAGTCTCTCCAGCTGAGAGGTTTTAGGCAATACAGATTTAATACAATCTGCGATGATTTTTTAAGCCCCTGTTATGCACCAGGCAATGGAGATACCAAAATGGGATAAAACAGTTTTGTACCTTCAGGAGGAGGCTGACCCTGTAATTCAGTGTGATAAGCACCGTGCTATAGGAGTGGATGAAGATATAAAGCACTATGGGAACTCAGAAGAGGCAGAGGAAGTGAGGAACATGGCTCTTGACAATTGAATTGTAGTCCAAGAGGACCAGGGCACTAGTGGGTGATTCCAGCAGAATGTATCAAGTCACTTTGAGCATTCTTGTGTGGCCTGGGGTAGATGAGGAGCCTCTTCTTACCTCATCTGAAGGCTCCAGGCTGGCCCCTAAATATGGGATGGGTGTACCTGGGGTCACAGCTGTGCAGGCTCAGCTCTGGCCTCTCATGGCTATCCTAAAACTCAGAAGGCAGGGCTGCTGGCTCTGGTTTTTGCAATTGTCCAGGGAGCAAGAAGTGAACCAGGATGCAGATACCAGCCCTACCACTGGCCTTTTCTAGCCCATGACTACCTGTCGATCGGAAGGCTTTCCTTGACTCAGATGCATTTCCAAGCCATCGGGGCTCACTGTAGTGCATCCGTGGCCCTATCCTTTTTCATATCTGAGCGTTGGGAATGTACCATGTACTGGTACATATTTGTCTTCTGCAGGTACAGTAATATCCAATGTTTGGGGATGAGGGAGGAAGGTTTACTCTAAATCTTAAGGTTTCCCCCATCCAGCCCTTTATTCCACATGTGAGATATCAGATCCACTCAAGCTCCTGTAGTCTTTTGAAGGTCTGCCTCACTTATACTTTGTGGGCGGGGTCTTGTTTGGGGATTTGGGGGTTTTTATTAGAAGGGGCCCTAAACTCACCACCTACCTCCCACAGTGCCCTTCCAGCTGTCACTGAAATGGCATTATTCATCAGCGTCTTTGGGCTGAAAAAGAAACCTTTCTGACTACCTTCCTGGGAGCATAGGAAGAAAGGCTGGAGGAACAAGGGACCATTCACCGTTCCTGGAAGGAGGAATCCCCCCCCCCAAAAAAAAAAAACACACCAAAAAACTGCATTTGGTGGAGGATTTTAGTGTTAGACTAATTAACTGTAATTATCAGCGTTTTATTTAGAGCTTTGTAATGAAATCTATTTTAGAGTAATATCAAAATTTATAAACACTTCAGGAGAGAGTTGGGGTAGCCAAACTACTAGAGAAAAGGAAGGCTGTTTTCCAGTCTTGCAGATGTAAAATAATATGTACCGCTTTTATCTTGGTTATTACGGTAAATGTCTGACGGAAGGGAGTGGGCGGGGATATGTAAATAACGGAGCTAACGATTAAGGCTGCAAGCTTGTGAGTGGAGCATTCTGGGAGGAATTAGTTTATCCCTTTTGGCAGCCAAATAGAAAAAAACATATTTTGAAAGATCTGCAGATAAATATAGAAACAGAAAAGGAAGAATCTAAATAAATTTAGTAGCTTAGGCTAACACGTCATTTACTCACCCTATCTTCTAAGAGGAATCCTTTTCATGGAGTTCCGAAGGGCCAACGTCGAACGTTTATCGTCAGGTAGGATAATCCTTACCTGTTCCTCCTTCGGGAGGGCAGATTTGAATATGATGATCGGAGATCGCATGATACGTGATTAACGTCTCTGCGTAATCAGGGCCCGCAACACCCTGATTGCTCCTATCTGATTCTTCCTGACGATCTTTTCATCTTTTTTCTTGGTGTTTTTGGGTGTGTTTCTAGTGGTGGTTGTCGTGCTGAGGTGTTCTCGAAGTTTAGTGGGTTTTTTTTCGTGTTTTAGTTAAAACTGTAATTAATTTGCTTTTCTGAAAATTCCGGCGTCTTTGTGTACTTAAAAATACTTAACAGGACTTGGGGGTCGTTTTGTGTATTTTTTTGGCTTCCTATAAAGTGGGCAATTATGATCCTTATACTTCGTATGTCACTATGGCAAAAAGAGCTACCTACTGAAGGTGGTAGCTCCCACCCAGAAATCTGGCGAACTTGTTCACAGGGAAACAATACCTTACCTCTGCCTGCTAGCACATAACAAGAACATGTATGGAAATTTATTAAAACATACATGCTATTAGTATATACATACAAACTACAAGAGTCTAACTTTCCACAGGATAGAAATTCTCAGAGTCATGTTTCCTGGTTTGGTGTGTGTTGGGAAGATTGAACCTAGGCCATTCTAAATAAGCTAAAGGCATCCAAGGAGATGCTTTCTGGTGTTGCCTCTCAGGTGATGTCTCACACACACATAGCCTTTCCCTGACCATATGTTTCTTCTGCTGGCAGCCCTTCATCCTGAGCTTTCATTCAATAAATACTTATTGAGCACTTATTTACTATATGCAGTACTCTGTAGTAGGTACTGAGAGAATTGATGTGAATATGACCCATACTCAGCCCCATGCTCAGCCTGGGCCATCACAGCTATTATGACTCATAGAGACAGAAAAGAAACAATATCCGATACTTCCAGAGTAATTAGTGCTACAAAGGAGACTTGTACATGCTATGGACTAGAGATTCATTTGACCAAGGTAGCAGGTGTTGCTTTTACAGCAGCAGTTAGAGTGAGTGTGGAGTGTGGCTGGAGCAGAGAGGTAGGGGAGCAGATTGTGAGGAAACGCAAGGAAGGCGGACACTGCTGGCAATTGTTAGAGACTTGATCAGGGAAGTCATGTTCCACTGCAGTCTGGCTTTCACCCCCACCCAGGGGTGTGTTCTAATAATTTGTGAAAGCTAACTTTTTGTTTTACAGAAACATTGTGAACCAGTTGTTAAACACTATTATCAAAAATTAAAAAATAAATGATGTAAACTCACAATTAAATAACTTAAAAACAGAAGTAATAGATATTCAATATTCATTACTTCCTCTTTATTTTACATTTTACTATTACATACTTTTTAAAAATTTTTATTTATTGATTTCTTTTAGAGGGAGAGGAAGGGGGAAGAGAGACAGAACCATTGATTTCTGGTTCCACTTATTTATGCATTCATTGGTTGCTTCTTGTATGTGCCCTGACAGGGATGGCACCTGCAACCTTGGCATATCCAGACGACACTCTTAACCAACTGAGCCACAGGCCTAGGGCCACTAGTACATGTTCTTAAGGTTATTTACAGTTATTGCATTTATGGTAGAAATATATAAAATGTTGTACTACTGTGTATCTCTTCTGAACTCATTTAGTGACATCTTGATTGATAGTTTGAAATTGAGTCTTGGCAGGATAGCTCAGTTGGTTAGAGCACCGTCCTGATATGCCAAGGTTTCGGGTTCCAGTCTGCACATCCCAGAATCAACTAATGAATGCAGAAATAAGTGGAACAACAAATCGATCTCTCTCTCCTCTCTTCCTCTCTCTCTCAAATCAATAAAGAAAGGAAATTGGCCTTGGTGGGAGTATCTACATCACAGAAGTTGGCAAGCACAACATAGCAGGCTTTGTCAACTGTATAGATTTAAGAAAGTGATGGAAAAATGTTAATAATGCAGATTCTATTTAGAAGTGTCATGTCTATGACTGTTGCATTGTGAATAGCACAAAAAACTGAAATATTCTCCAAGATTTGTAAACTATTATCAGATTTGTCCAGCGTTTTCTCATGATTAGATTGAGATTATACATTTTGGACAAGAATTCCAAAGTCATTCAAGTCATTGAGAAACCAGAAGTTTCAACATATCTTCATTGTTTCACTTTTTGTCTTACTTGAAAATGTACATAAAAACCTCAACCAACATTCATGTTGGAACTGTACCTGCAATTAAGATACAACTCCGCTTATGAAATCATGGATATAAAAGTGGAATGTATTATAAAGAATATTGTGTATTTTATTATTTGTACATTCTGTATTACATATCCTTTATATCAGTAAAATTATTTGTAATAAACTTACGTACATACATAAATGGATACTTTTTTGTAGAGTTGGTTGTTAAACATTTGCCAGCACACTCTTGCCTCTACCATCCCAAGAAACTGCTCATCATCAATGATTCCCTTGTTTCTAAAACCAGAGGTCACTTCTCAGACTTTAGCTTGACTTCTTTTCAGCATATAATATGTGACCATTCTCCTCTTAAAAATTTCTCCCTTGGTGTCTGAAGTGATTTCCCTGGTTTACCTCCCACTGTTCTGGCTGCTCCTCAGACTCATCCAGTGAATACTGATTAAGGACCTACAAGTATCAGTCATTGGGGACATACTACTGGGTCATCTCCTTTGCTTGCCCCTTAAATGTTGGTGGTCACTATTTCTTGGGTGACTTCATCCAACCTCTTGTCTTCAGACACCAACCAGATACTGCTGGTTTCCAAGTCTTGGCTCTCTTATGTGAGCTCTAGCCCAGAGCAAAAGCTATGGGAGCAAGCTGTGGGGCCAATCCTGAGTTCAAAGTGCACCCTCTACCCTTGGCTGTGTGATCAGCAACAGGTAGGTCACTTAACATCTCTGTGCCTCAATTCCCTCATCCACACTCCAGAAGTAGCTACTACAAGCAGTTCAACTATTTGTTTCTTAGTCAACACCAGAAGCTTTGCCAATTAGCATCAGAAATAGGTTCCCATTTTCTTGAAATTAGTGACTTGTTAATCAGCATAAGCCAGTCACAAAAAGACAAATACTTCATGGCTGCAATTATATGTGGTACCAAAAGTAGTCAAATTCACAGAGACAGAAAGTAGAATGGTGGTTGCCAGGGGCTAGGGGAGGAGGGGAGGAGTTGTTGTTTAAGGGATACCGAGTCTCAGTATACCGAGTTTTGCAAGATGAAGAGAGTTCTGGAGATTGGTTGCACAATAATGTGAATGTACTTAACAATACTGCACTGTACACTTAAGATGGTAAATTTTGTTATGACTTTTTTACCCCAATTAAAAAAAATAATTTAAAAATTAGCCCTGGCCAGTGTGGTTAAATGGTTTGAGCATCAGCTGTGTACCAAAGGGTCACAGGTTCAATTCCCAGTCAAGGGAATGTACTTGGGTTGCAGGTTTGATCCTGGGCCTGGTTGGGGCACATGTAGGAGGCAACCAATCAATGTGTCTTTCTCACATCGATGTTCCTCTCTCTCTCTCTCCCCTTCCCTTTCTATTCTCTGAAAAGCAATGGAAAAAATATCCTCTGGTGAGGACTGAAAGAGAGAGAGAGAGAGAGAGGGAGGGAGGAAGAAGGAAGGGAGGGAGGGAAAAAAATAGCTTTGGGTGAGGATTAACAATAAATAAAGAAATAAATCAATTAAAAAATTAAGATATCAGTGGTGAAAAGTGGGATTAGTCAATAAAAGAACAACTGAGTAACCATCTGGGGGAAAATATGGATCAATACCTTACACAATGAAATATTACAGATACATCAAAGATTACAGTGTAGGCCTGGCCTGGTGTAGTTCAGTTGGTTGAGTGTCGTCTGGTGCACAGAGAGGTCAGACCTGTTCAATTCCTGGTCAAGGCACAAGCCCAGGTTTCAAATCGATCCCTGTCAGGGTGAGCTGCAGGAAGCAGCTGATTGATGTTTCTCTCTCTCTCCCTTTCTCTCTAAAATTAGTAGGAAAACATTTTTTTAAAAAAAAGATTACAGTGTAAAAAATCATAAACTCAAAGAAACCTTGAAATTTTTAACCTTTTTATTTTGAATAATTTTAGACCTACGGAAAACTGCAAAAATGGTACAAAGTTCCTGTGTACCCTTCACCCACCTTCCCCAAATGTTAGCATCTTGCATAGCTGTTGTAAGCATGGAGAAACTTCATGTCTTTTGTACGACCCTTTCTTCTTTCTGTCCCTCCACTCCTTTCCTTAATCATTAAGCCCTTAGAACATCGTTCTGGTCAGCATCAAACTCCCTTTAAGAACAAAGCTTCATGCCCTAGCGGGTTTGGCTCACTGGTTAGACCGTCCCCAAGAGGACTGAAGGATCTCGATTCTGGTCAAGGGCATGTACCTCAGTTGCAGGCTTCATCTGAAATCAATAAAAATATTTAAAATAATAATAAACCCTCAGAGATAACATCTTGACTTCAGTTGTGTTTCAACCCTAGGCCCAGGAAAGCGAAATGACCCTATAAACCCAAACCAATAAAACAATGCCATGGCTGACATCAGAACCTGATACAATGATAAACTACTCCCTACCCTGGCCCCAACCAATGGGTAGAGCCCACGACCCCAACTCCTTTAGCCACCATGATTAATGATTTTTCCCCTGTGTAACCCATCTGGAAGCCATCGGGGAGCCAGGTCTTTGAGCTCGAGCTCACCTGTGACTCCAGTTGTCGCACCATTTCCTTAAAAATAAACCTTTAGCCCGGCTGGGCATAGCTCAGCGGTTGAGCATCGACCTAGGATCCAGGAGATTGCAGTTCGATTCCCAGTCAGGGCACATGCCTGGGTTGCCGGCTCCATTCCCAGTCAGGGGAGTGCAGGAGGCAGCCGATCAGTGACTCTCTCTCATCATTGATGTTTCTGTCTGTCTCTCCCTTTTTCTTCCTCTCGCTGAAATCAATAAAGATATATTTTAAAAAATAATAAGAAACCTTTACTTTCTTGGCTGCAAACTCCTATTCACATTTGATTGGGCAGGCAGGCAAACAGAACCCTTTAGTCCAGTAATACTGTGCTGGCAAGTGTCTTGATTATTACATCCATCAAAGATCTCGAGGCTCCCCCTCTTGGGAGCATGCCCTCACCTTTCCCATCCCCCTCTTCCCCCAGCTGCATTACCTTTGCCTTTCTCTAAGATCCAAGGGCCCTTCTGCTGCCTTTGTAACTTGTTTCCTGATCCTGTGCAGCCCAGCTGGCTCACTTCTACTACCTCTGTAACTTTCTAAATAAACTTTCTCTTATCATTTGAAAAAAAAATTTTTAAAGATTTAATGATGTGTGTTTTTCTTCAGCTTTATTGAGGTATAGTAGACAAACACACTGTATTTTAATAATCTCTTTTCTTGTGTGTTATTGCAACTCCTGATGCCAGCAGAATGCCTAGCATTGTAGAATGAAAGAGCCATCATTTAACAAATAAGGCCCAAGGAGAAGGCCATCTGCCATTTGGGGACAAGAACCCAAATCTCCTGGCTGTCAGGCCAGATCAGCTGACTCATTACAAGAATTTATTGAGTACCCACTACCAGCAGGCTCTGGCTCGGCAGGTGATATGGAGGGAAATAAGGGAGATGTGGCTTCTTGCCAATCACACTGCCTAGAGGGGGACTCCCCCTGCCCAAATAGAGGGACTTGTCAACCCAGTGAATCTCTAATGAATGGAGGGTTGAAGAGTGAGTGTTTGGGACCAGGAGGCATCACTGTCTCCTAGTCCCAGCAGACTCTGACCTGCCTGTGTCTCCTGCTCACACAGGGCTCTGGCATGTGGCTCCCCCATTGTGCATGCTCACACTACCCAGCTTCCCAGCAGCCCTGAAGGCTGGGCCTGTCCTGTCCTGCTGCAGTGACAGGAGCTGGCTCCCTCACCAAAGTGGTAGCAAGTAATCAGGGCTTTCTTTACCAGTCTAATCAGAAACACTGAGCAACAGGTCCTGCCCAAACCCATCCTCCCAAACAGGTGCCCAGGAGTCTACCATTTAGCCAACTAAAAAAATAGACCCGTCAAGGCATTTATCTAAGCCTAGTTTTCCCCAAATGTAAAATCAAGGTAATATCTATCTCATAGGATTGAGGGTTGAACATGGTAGGTATTTACAACAACAGTCCTAAGAGCACTGTTATAATAGCAAAATAACTGGAAAAAAATCTAAAAGGCTGGTCCCTGAGGGACTAGTTAAATAAACTGTGGGTAGAAGAGTGAGTGTTTGGGACCAGGAGTCATCCCTGTCTCCCAGTCCCAGCAGACTCTGACCTGCCTGTGTCTTGTCCTGCCTTCCATGGTTAAACATGGAAGATTGGTCATCAGCATTTGTCTTCTTTCCAAAAGTTAGCTAAATAACAGGAGAGAAGTCAAAGTGGCATAAATCTATAATGAGTAAGAGATCAGGAGAGAAGATGGCAGCAGACAAAGGATTTCAGCAAGATTTTGGAGGTTGGACAGCAGCCAAAGTGTGGTGACAGACCGAACAGGGCAGAGGGAGTCAAGAGGACATGATGCTCAAAGATCCTGTAGGTCCCCAGATTCTGGGCCTGGCCTGGCTAAACAAGGTAGCACTGAGTCTGTGTTCAGTGATGAAACCCCTGGGGCTGCCTCACCTCTCACACCTGAGTGACACATACCACCCCTCCCTCTGCGTACTCATTTTAAAAAATATATGTATCTTTATTGATTTCAGAGAGAGGAAGGGAGAGGGAGAGAGAGAGAGAGAGATAGAAACATCAATGATGAGAGACAGTCATTGATCAGCTGCCTCCTACTGGGGTTCGAGCCCAAAACCCAGGCATGTGCCCTGACCAGGAATCGAACCTCAATCTCCTGGATCCTAGGTCGATGCTCAACTGCTGAGCCACGATGGCTGGGCTGCATACTCATTTTTGAGGAGGCTTTGAATTTTGGGACCCGAGGCCCAGCAGATGTGAGGATTGAGACTAGAAACAGGAGTCCCCACCCTACTCCAGATCCACTCCCTCATCAAGGTCAGGAGATGAATAGAAGATATTGTTCTCTCAAAAAACTGAACGGCCCCAGAGAAAGCCTGCCATCTAACACTTGGGAGTCCATGTGAAAAGGCTTCCACTGTCCTACAGCAAAACTAATAGCCAATGAATGCCCCCCCCCCCC